CCTCACGATGCATAAGCGGATTTTTTATTTAAATATTTCAATTTAATAGTTGTTGTATAAAATGTGATTCCTCCACGGAAAAGACGGACTACCAAGAGACGATGGAATTTTAATTAAACCACCGCACAACTCAGTATCAGCCTTTGTTAAGTCAGTCGTCATACATTTTACAATCCAAAACACTCTTTTTAAAATTCACTTGCCCGCTCAACGAGACAGTCCATTTTTTTTTTTTTTTTTTATTTTTTTTTCAATTGGCCCAAAATAAAAAAAAATGTAGCGACTCACTTTCTCACCGATTTTACTCTTCCGCACTTTAATTTTCCTAGTCACAAATTAATTGAATAAATTAAAAGTTGATACCCCCAAGGCAAGTCGAATATTCGTTCTACGAATATTGGGACAATAATTTTTTCGTGCGAATTTAAACAGTGTCTAAAAAAAACAGTTTTTCTTAAAACTAACCTGCTTTCTTGGTAATCGAGCCAATCAACAGTTTTTCTCAAAACTACCGTATTTTTTAATTTCTAGAAAAGTAAATTAACTGAGTTTTTGCATCGCGGTTGGTGTCATTCGAAAGGGCTTCACTAAACTTAGATTTCCTGAAAATTTGAACCGATTCGGACCGGTAGATTTCGAAAAAATGCAAAAAAAGTGAAAAAAAAGTAAAAAAAAAAGTTGTTTTATTTTTATTTTTTTTAAATATCTCCGAATTGGCTGAACCGATCAGTCTCAAAAACTAATCAGCTCTTAACCTTAAAAACCCCCATCGATCGCCACCAAAAACGTAAGAACCGGTTGATGCGTTCGTGAAATATCGTTGTCGAAAAAAATCGAAAAAAGTGTTTTTTTGTAATAACTTCGAAATTCATGGCTTGATCGATTTAAACTTGAAAATTTTTTATGGAGCTTCAAAAACTGCGTCGATTGCCGCCAACCGCGTGAAAATCGGTTCATTCATTCTAAAGTTATTGCCGTTTGAAAATTCAAAAAATTTTGTCTTTAAACTGCTATTAGAGTTTTGAGCTCGAAGAGCTCGAATTGACACAAAAATAATATTTTTGAGCTCGAAGAGCTCAAAAACGTAATGTGTAGTTTGAAGCGTTTAAGTACAAAATGAGCGGGAAGTTGCAGGGATGGCCTTTAGGGTGAACCGTTTTTCTAATTTTTCAAAATTCAATTGCCAATCCTTGTAGAGAATTTATTCAAGTTTTCGAAACCAACCTTAAAATTTCTGTGCGATCTTTGGTTGCTGAGATATTGGTAATCAAAGACAAAATGATCTTTTTCCATTCAAACACCGATATCTCAGCGAGAAATGCTCGTATCAACATTTTTAAAAAATCAAATTCAAGCTGAATAAACAAGCTATCCGGTCCATATGGAGGTTAAATCGAAAAAATTTTTTCCACGTCCGTAGATTAAAAAAAAAACCAAAAATATTTCGAAAATTTTTTTTTCGGTGGTTTTCTTATGATTACTCGAAAAATATTTTCAAAAAAAAATTTTCAAACTTTGATCCGAAAACTAGACACTTAGAGCTACAATTTGCTTTTTTTTTTTTTTGCTGTACGACCATTTTTGTATAAGTTACAGCCTGTTGAAAATCCCCCGAAAATTTGGATTTTTTTTCTGCTCCCTTAATTTTTGTGAGAAGTGTAGATACTAACTATGTACGCCTGTTATTCATAAAATTTTTATGTTTGTTTCACAAAAAAATTAATTTATTTTACTAATGTTGTCGTTCATGTTTTAAAATATTAACCGTTTTAAAAAAAATAGTTAATTATATTTTATATTTTATTTATTGCATTAAACATACATATGTTTTTAGCAAGAGAGATCGCCACATAAATACATAAAGTAGTAAAAATTTTCTAATAATAAGAAAATATAGTATGTACAATGAAATTCTAGCTCTTTTTTTTTTCTTTTTTTTAGTGCAAGGTATAAAATAAAAATAAAAGTTGAGATTTAAAATTCAAAATTAGTTCAGTTTAAATTAACTAGACTATTTAAGCTTTAGCTCAGTAGGAACAGCAGACGAATATTAAAAAACTTGGAGAATAATCCTGGAAACTTCTGGGATTCCTGGGTAGACTTCCTTCATAGATTAAGAGCCCACACGGAAAAAACTACATTTAACTGGTTTCCATGTTGTACAGATCCTAGTTCCATCTATAGTGAAAAAAAAAGTGAGCCGTCATGGGACGCCTGGCAGATGTGAAACATCGTGTGTGTACAAGTAATATGCATAGAAGATAATATTATCACAGGAATTAAATATAGCCTAATGAAAAAATGAAGTATTACGAATTTCTTACAGAAAATGGTAACTTTATTTAATGAACATTTATTTACATGTGATATAAAAATTCGATATTAATATCAAGCGGCCACAATTTAAATATTTTCATCTGTGACTTCAGTAATAGTTATATTTGATGTTTCCTCTGCCGGTATTACTGTGACGATTGGTCGATGATAACTAAAGTACGTTACAAAAGTATTGGATGAAACATTATCAAGATATCTCACAAATACAGCATCTATTGTTGTTCCATATTTGGTAGTAGATTCTCTTGGATTGTTGTTGATTTGCAATTGAAATTCTTTTTGAAGAAATGTAATTAATGGCATCGATTCAGCTCTCACATTACCACATATTACCACCAATATTACCACATGAAAATCATGTTGACATGTCATTTATACTTTAGTTATAGGTCCCAAAAACTATTTCTTCGGTAAATGTAAATTGGTAGAGGTTACCGATTTTTCGGTAGAGGTTACCGATTAAAATCGGTAGAGGCAACCGATTGAAATCGGTAAAGGTTACCGATTAGAAATCGTTAGCCTCTACCGATTATTTTTTTCAGTGCACTTTGTCCCAAGGGAGCCGCCTTGCCTCACCCATCCCAACTTATCTTTCAATCAAGCAGTAGCAAAATTTTTTAAAATTTGTATCATCGGAACAAATACTCTTATTCCTCTAATCTACCAAAAAGTGAAATAAATGACTAGAAATTATTTTTTACTTGACCAAAATGAGCGGTGAAATACTCATTTTCAATCCATTGAAAATAAAAGAAAAAATGAGTAATGAAACAAAATTACATTAATCATTTAGACAAAAAATTGTAATGAAAAATTTTTCATTACTCATTAAGAATTCAAATTTAAAATGTACTAAAAATACATTGATCATTAAAAAAAATTTAATGGAATTAATGTAATTTATCATTAAAAAAAAATAAATGAGTAATGGACATTGAATACATTACCCATTATCAAAAAAATGAGCAATGAATTGTCATCGCATTAAAAAAAAATGCATTATTTGCAACTCTGTTTGGTGTTAGGCGTGAATTGAAGTAAGATTCCTTTCGCTATAAGGCGACAGCAGTATTTGTTAGACAGTCTTATTTGTGCTAAAATGCGTTTGGTGGACAGTGGGTTATTTTGCATGAGATAGTTAGCTGGGGTATACTGGCGAATTCTGGGTAGTTGGAACTCGAGAGACTTAGACTGACTCGCATCATTGTAGTCTTTACTGAGAAGTATTTCGTGGTAACGTTGGAAAATTATCTCAGTTCTTGCTTCCCAGATGTGTGCCTCAGGGGTCTCAAGTAAATCCAGCAAGTCGCATTCCTGCAAAAATTCTCTCAATTGGGCAATCCAGTTGAAAGGCGAGACGGTAGTAGAGTTTTTGGCAAGCTCGAGTAAGCGACGTAGACAGATTTTATGTAAAGAGGAGTCTTTCGCACCTAGTGTCTTAATCGTCCAGCGCCACGCACAGAGCATTGCTTTGTATGCAACAGGCTTGAGTCCAAATTCTAGGCAAATAGCCCAGTCAGCAGTGTTTTTGGGCAGGTTGTACAGTTTCTTGAAGAAAAACGTCTGGACTGATTCCAAGGAGTTCCTATACCAAAGTCCCCAGGAAGGGAAGGCATAGAAGAGAACAGATTCTACCATGCTGTCATATAATTTCACAAAGGCATCGATTGAGTCACATTTGGCTTTGGCAAGGATGGAAATAGATGAGCAGGAAGCACACTTCGCTTTGTTCAATGCGTTTCTAAGAGCGTTAAGCCCTTTTGTTGAGGAAGAGACCATCACACCCAGATAAAGATAGGATTTGACAATCTCTATTGGTTTGTTTTTGTAGAGCCTGAATTTTTCTGGGCACTCTTTCAATCTTCCAGCAGCCTTAAAGATCACGATCTTGGTTTTATTTACGTTGACTGAGAGTCCGTTTATATCACAGTATTCCTCCAGTGCTTTTAACTTGCGTAGTAGGTCTACGTGGGAATGCGCAAAAATGACTGTGTCATCCGCATAAAGAAGGAGTAAAATGTCCGTGATTCCATCTATATTCAGTCCATATAAGCCCTTCGATCGGAAGAAGTTTTCAATGTCGTGTAGAAAAAGTAGAAATAAGTCAGGGCTCAGTGCTTCCCCTTGAAATACACCTTAAGTTACGTCGAATTTCGCAGAGAACTCCCCAGCCGACTTGACCTGTATCGTTGCTTGGTCGTATAGTTGGCTTTACTGCTGCAATAAATTTGGAGCTAATCTGTAGTTGATGTAGCTTTTGCCATAGTCGATTATGTGGGACAGAGTCAAATGCTCTGCGAAAGTCAACGAAGATACCGTAAATTTCCCTCCTGTCATGGTGGCGATATTGAATTTGAATGGCACTGAGTAATGTAAAAATAGCATCAGTACAGCTGCGTCCAGCTCGAAAGCCCAATTGACACTCGGGTAACACATTTTGATTATTGACCCAAATGAACAGTCTTTTTTTAAGAATTGTGGTGAATATCTTAGTTAAAGTGTTAATTAGTGCGATGCCGCGATAATTCAGGGGATCCATTTTATCACCTTTTTTATGTAACATGGTCATCAAGGAATTAGTCCATGTATTAGGAACCTGCTCAGTTTCTAAGAGTTTGTTCAAAATGATTCTGAGAACCTGCTTGTGATCTCCAGTAAGAGATTTATAAAGTTCGTTGGTCAGGTCCCGGGGATTTGCCAGATTTTCGCACAGAGAGAGTATTTTCCGCGGTATTGAACCTTTGAACCATCCCGGTATTTTCCGCGGCGTTGAAAATTGACTGTTGTAGCCAGTTGTACTGATCGTCAGGTTGTGCCTCTGATTGATTGCTCGGGAATCGCGTAGAGTACAGTTGGCTCTGGAATTCATTTTCTAATTTTTCATCCCATTTAATTTTGGTGGTGTTACATGTAGGCGTTGTGCAGCAAGATTCAGGCTTGGAGTTAGAGCTCACTTGTATTGATACACAGACGGGTCTGTGGTCAGATAGTGAGGGTTCGAGTATAACTTCTAGATCCAAAATGTAATGGAGTGACGAGGTATTTGCCCATACTAAATCTATTATTAATGTACCGTGAAAATCATAAGTAGGCTGCGCTGGGGAGTCACTGTTAGTTCTACCATTAAGAAGAACAAAATCATTGTCCAGCATGAAATCAAGCAGTTGGTGGCCCCTATCACATTCAGCAGAATCCAGGCTTGTTCTTGCACTGTGTATATGGAGTCCAAGAAACATCTCAGGTGGCCAGGGGTTTAAGAGACCAACTCGCGCATTCATGTCACCGCCTATAATAAACAAATCATGAGTATGTGTTGCTTTAATGGAATCAATGAGTACTTGCAGAGAGCTTAAGAGACTATGAAGTACAAGGCATTTGCGAAAATATACAGATCCAAGTATAATAATAGTGTTACCGATTTCAACCTTATTGAAGATCCATGACGGTGACTTTGCAAGTATTGTAGCATTATATCTGTTATTAATTGCTGTAACTAGTCCATCACTGGCGCGACCCACAGCATGTTCCCTAACCGCATCTGACCAGAAGTTGTGATATTTTTCTAAGAATCGGAGATTGAGAGGCAGCGTAGTCCAGGTTTCACAGGCGGCTATAATGTCTGAGTACTCGCGGAGTGAACTGAGTTCAAGGTTGGAGTAGCCATGAAGGTTCCAGAAGGTTATCTTTACTAGTTCTGCTGAGCTATTATCTAGTTTTTCAACGGAACGTTCTCGTAATCCATTTGGATAGTAACGTTGGTTGAGTTTTTGCTTAAAAGGACAAAAGTATCTTGTCCATAGCTCCAGGTAAAGGTTTGGTTGTCGATTATCACTTTATTATCTTTTCTGGCGACTTTTTTGCCTTCTGAGTAATTTTGTTTACAGAATTGTCTACACTGCCAATCAATATATTGTTCTTTGTTTGTGCGGTCCGGGTTAATAAAAATTTTTGTGCCTGTGAGCTTATTTTTTTTGGCTTTAAAAATTGTAGATTTCAGAGAGGGGTCCAAGAGATCCACTAGGATATAGCTGCGTAGCTTTTTGACTATGATATTAGAGCAATCGATGTTAAAGTTGGAGGTTAGAAAATGTTTGACTTCTTGTGAGTGGTTATTGAAGCTCAGTGTGAGTCCAGCAATTGTTATTTTTGTTTTTTTGTTTTCCTTCTCCAATTGCTCGACTTTGTTTATTAGGAAACTGATCTTTTTATTTAAAGGCCCCTCTGATGAGGTAAGGATTGCAGGTTGGTTCTCCATGGACGAGACTAGCTTCTTAAGACCTTCAATTGGGTTAATTTTTACCGTATTTTCTTCCACAGTAGAAATACGCTTGAAGAGATCAGTTTTTGTGCCTGAGATTTCATTTTTGAGATTGCTCAGGCTTTCTTCAAGCTTGGTGAAAGCTGCTTGGTCTTTCATTAGGTTGCTTTCAAGTTTATTCTTGAGTTCAGTGTGCTTGAGGTCTTGCTCAGCTCTGAGAGCTGCAATTTCATTTAAAATCTGACCCACGTCAGGGTCCGGCTGGACAACGTTGGCATCGGAACTCATATTGTTGGTGGCCATTTCCGGCGGTCTCGCAGTCAGGGAGTTATTTTCTACGTAAGAAGACTCTTGTGTTTCAATGTCAGCCGTATCCGAGGGCCTGCTGGGCTTAAGTGGCGTTTTCTCGGCTTGAAAAGCCTTTTTGTTTACGCTGACAAGTGAATTCAAGACGTTGTTTATCTTTGTCGGCGTTTTTAAAGAATGATCTCCGTCTTCGGAGTTAAAGGCTTCCCGGGAAAAAATGATCAGATCTGATCAGATATGAACAGGCATGGGTCTTCAGGTCTGATCAGACATGAAAAATGACCGGGTCTGATCAGACCTGGCCAGGCATGTTCATGTCTGATCAGATCTTTTCATGTCTGACTCGATTAGGTTCATAAAAAAAAAAAAGATTGGTGCCGACGGGGATTCGAACCATGTACGTTGCGCTCTTCAGACTGATACTTTACCTATTGACCCAATGACTTATCTTAATTCTAGAGTACCTTTTAAACTACTTTAAGTAATTTAAATTTTATACATGACTTATTCTTATAGTTAACGGAGTTCTATACTTAATTTATTAATTAACTATTAATAATTAATTATACACCGTAAAAAATTTCGCGTCATAGCGTCAAACAATTTTGTGTTAAAAATTTTGATGTTAAATATTTAACACTTTTTTGTGTTGATTTAACAGAATAAATGTTAAATTTACACATAAAAGTGTTAAATATTTATCACTAAGATTTTTGACGCAATGACGCAAAATTTTTTACTGTGTATATTAGAATGATTTATTTGGGACGGCTATGTATTTTATTCGCTCCATTAACATATGGTTCTATGTAAAGTAAAAAAAAACAATTTCTTCAAGGTTTATTCTGTAATTATAATTTTATTGTTTTCTTCAAAAATTGAGGTTTTTTTAATTAAAACGTATAGGAAATGACGAATTATTTGTGTGTTCTTCAATTTAACAGCCTTTGACACTACTGCAATGGACCAAGGCGTAGCTTAAGATAATAGCATACACCTTGAAAGGACTTATCGATATCAACTGACATATTTTGGTATTTTAACGCTATCAAACTCAAACTTTTACTAAATAATCTTATTTTTCGCGTATTCAATGGAACACAGTAAAAAATTTTATGTCATTGCGTCAAAATTCATCGTTAAAAATCATCGTTTTGGCATGGAAAATTAAAAAGTTCATGCTTATATAAGCCGAAATTTTTAATGAAAGTTTTACATTTAAAATTTATAAGGGGATAGAAACTGATACGTCATACGGAACAAATTAATTTTAAAAATAGAACTGCAGTCTACAGTGCGATAAAATTTTTCTTCCAGATTTAAAATATCATTTAAGAGGGCAAATCATGCATGAACAGTTCTTGTCAGCTGATATATGGAGTTTTAATCCTTTTCTATTAGGCTAGAACAGACATGATCAGACATGGACAGGTCTGATCAGGTCTGAGCGTATTTAATGCTTCAGACATGAACAGACATGAGCAGGCATGAACAGGCTTGATCAGGTCTGTTCAGGTCTGAGCGTATTTAATGCTTCAGACATGAACAGGCATGAATAGGCTTGATCAGGTCTAATCAGGCCTGAGCGTATTTAATGCTTCAGACATGAACAGGCATGGACAGGCTTGATCAGATCTGATCAGGTCTGAGCGTATTTGATGTTTCAGACATGAACAGGCATGAACAGACATGAGCAGGCATGAACAGGCTTGATCAGGTCTGATCAGGTCTGAGCGTATTTAACACTTCAGACATGAACAGACATGAACAGGCATGGACAGGTCTGATTAGGTCTGAGCGTATCTAACGGTTCAGACCTGAACAGGCCTGATCAGGTCGGATTTCAGGTCTGATCAGATATGAACAGGTCTGATCAGTCCTGATCATTTTTTCCCGGGTTCTTCACTGCTGCGCTTTCTGTTTTTTTCAAGAAATCCCGTAATAGAAGGGCAAGAAATCAATTTTTGCGAGGTAAGGCGTAGATAATTAGGTGGTCTGCCCAACGGAACCGCATTTAATACTTTTAAATTACCCAGTTTTAATTTTCTTTTCTACTATACCATCCGTGCTGGTCTGCTTGACTGTTACAGTACCGGCTTTTGACCGTGAGGTGTCACTGGACAGCATTAGCTTGGCGTAGCTGGTAGTTTGGCGAAATTAACGACGGAAAGTTTTATCTAATCTAGAAAAGCTCAACTTCAACACATATCTGGCAATATTCATGTCAAACGTCCTCTATTAAAGCAATGCACTTTGACAGTTCAATAAGAGTAGTCTTGTTGATCACCGGGCACACAAAACTGAATTTTTATAAGATATTTGATATATAATAATACACAATATAAGTAGAGCGAAAAAATACACGTCCGAACACAATGAGAGCTCAGTGGCGCCCCCTAAAAAAAATAGTTAACTAATATTGTATTTTAATTTATTTATATTGTTGTCATCATTATTATTCGACCATTAACTATTAATTCTTTCTATTTATAATTCGCACTTGAAATACGCAAAATTGTTAGTAATATAATAATTCGTTTGACTTAAACATTTATTTATTATATGTTTTTCACTGTTTCGTTACGTTAAAAATTCAATTCTTTGAGTTACAGCAATTTGTCATAACAATTTAATTTATTTATCAAAATAAGCATTAGTTTGTTACGATAAAAAAACGTATCTCGAGTTACAACGTTTGTCATGACAAAAATGAATTTTTCTGTTAAATTGTACTCAAATTCTGTTCAAACTTTAAACGCTATTTTCTCGAAACTATAATTTTCGAGATGCGTCGTTTTGTCATGACAGGGCAGTGTAGGTGTTCATAACTACCCAAGAATAGCTTCCTCTAGTAAGACTGCTGCTCACGAACGTAAGATCCACAATAGCGCTTGCCTCTCCTTTCGAATATGTTGATGTCTCACCAGTGTTAAGGAGAACATCTAGTGTGGCCATCGCTTCAAGTAGAGCCTTTCCTCGTGCATTGGTGAACTTGCTGCCCCAGTCTACTGCCCAGGAATTGGAGTCACCTCCTATTGCTACGGGAAAGTGTTGCCTTGCATCTTCGGTTAGCCGATCAAAAAAATCGATGAATTGTTTTTAAGAAAGACTCGGCGGGGCATCGCAGGCAACCCGGAGAGCGCCTCGCTGCTGTACTGCTGCTATCTTTCACCGGTAGGTCTTCTGCTTTAATATAGATATCTACCCATATCTCCGCTCCATAAAGCAGTATCGAGTGGACTGCTTCAAGAAGAACTCTTCTCTTTTTTGTTCTTGGTCCCATGGTGTTGGTCATAATTCGTGCTAGGCTAGACACAGTCTTGCTGGCTTTCTTGCATGCACTGTCGAGGTGTTCGCAGAAAGATAGTTTCTCGTCTATCATTAACCGTAAATAGCGTAGAGCCCTTGTTGACGTCAGTGTTGTTCTTCCCATGTCCACAGCGAATGGTTGTGGGAACCATTTGTGACGTGTCAAAACGACCATCTCTGTTTTGTGTTTGGCGAGTTTCGTGTGATGCTTATCAAGCCAAGTCGCGACTGTGTCGATGGTTTCTCGAACTAGCAGTTCAGCCTCTTCCACGCTGTCCACCACTATAGTGGCCGCAACGTCGTCTGCAAAGCCTGTTAGCTCTACTTGCTCTGGCAGCGGGCTTTCAAGAAGCTTGTCGTAGTCTGCGTTCCATAGATCGGGTCCCATTATTGAGCCTTGCGGCACGCCAGCCGTTATGGTGTATTCTCGTGGGCCTTCAGTAGTTTCCACTGTTAGCTTTCTATCGTCAAGGTAGTTGTCAACTAGTGCCCGATTCACTGGCTCCGCGTCAAACTTATGCTCCAGAGCGTCTGAAACGTCTCCCCAGTTTGCGCTGTTAAATGCGTTTTTGATATCTAGCGTGAGAAGACATACTTTACGAGCTTTAAGGCTACCAGACCATGCTTGTGTTGCTGTCTTTATGACATTCTCAATCGCTCCGACTGTTGAACGACCTTTCCGGAAGCCAAGCTGGTTGGTGGCAAAACCTCCATTACGGTCGATATCGTTGCGAAGTCTCTCTTGTATGAGCTTATCTAGCAGTTTTCCAGCAATGTCTAGCATACAGAGTGGTCTAAACGACGAAGGTGTTATGGGGGTTCCCTTACCTTTGTCTAAGAGAACCAATTTCTGCCGTTTCCAGACTGCGGGAAACGTGCCAGTTACCAAGCATGCGTTGTAGGTGTTCAGTAGTATGTTTGGGTATTCCAGGGCTACAATCTTGATCACCGATACCGGGATGCCATCAGGTCCAGGTGCCTTTCCTGTTTTGAGTGACTTGGCAGCATCGTGTAGATCCTTAGTTGTGAAGGGTGTTACTTCGCTGTTTTTAGTGTAGTGTTTCTTTTCCCACGGCGGGTGTTTGGAAAAAGGTTCGCTACAATGCTGTCCATTAAGGCTGGAGACTTTGGCACCACCGGTGAAGCCTTTCCCAGTCGTTTGGCGACAATTTGGTAGGCTTTACCCCAGATGTCATTGTCGAGATCGTTGCAGATCGCTTTCCACAACTTCGCTTTACTTGCTTTGATGGCTCGGTTTAGCGTCTTTTTGGCCTGCTTGTACTCTTTTGAATACAAGTCTTGGCTTGGGGAGCGTTTCGCGGCTCTCGTTGCGCGGCGACGTAGTTGATGGCATATTTTACGAAGTTCTGCTATGTCTGTTGACCACCAGTACGCCGGCCTGTGGAAACTCCGGTTTTTTAACCACGGCAGAGAGACGTCACATGTGGCAGCAATCTCCTTTATCGTATTTAGCAATGCCCTTTTTGTCTCGCTGCAAATATCCGAAGTCAGGTTGTTCTGAAGGATAGACCAGCTCCGTGCAAGTGAAGCTCGCAGCGCTTCTGGATCAAGCTTCCTGACATTCCATTTTCTCTTAGAAAGGTCGTGTTGTGATATCGGAGCAGATGCCAATCCAACGTTGAATGTTACGAACTGGTGATCACTGCCACTGTATTCTTCGGATACAGTCCAGTCTTCGATTATGTTGGCAGTTCTTGGAGTCACCAACGAAATGTCGAGGATGGATCTTTGGTACCCCGGTCGTCTGAAAGTCTTGGTGCTCCCGGTATGCAGCACTATGAGGTCCAGTCTAGCCGCAACGTCAGCGACCTTGTTGCCTCTGGTGTCGGAGAAAGCAGGGCTCCATTCAGCCAATTTAGCATTGAAGTCACCAGCTACGATGACTTCGCCGTCGATCTTAGTGATCACATCCTCTATATTTGCCAGTTTCTGTCGAAACACACTAATCCCTTCGTTAGGTGAAGATAGACGCTCATGAAGTAGGTTGTGGGAGTTTGAATCCAGATAAAACCTGCTCCACTTCCGCTGTTCTTGGTGGTAACGTTCTTTGTGTTTACAATCCAGATTGCCGCCGTGCCAGTTTCGTCTGTGAACCATGTTCTATCTTGGAGGTTTAGATATTGTTCACAAATGAAGCAAACGTCGATCCTCTCTTTAAAGACTCGCTGGCGAAGTAAGTTCTGCGTCAACGAACATCTATTCAGGTTTCCTTGAAGTATGCGCGTCATTTCTGCCCTTTCGTAGCTTCGGCAAGTGCGGTGCGGAATACCTTACAAGCCCTGGAGCCTGGAATATGACATAAGCTATCTGGAGCTTCTTGGTCCGGTGTACAGAGGAAGCACTTTGGCTGTTCAACGCAGTCTGCAGCTTTGTGGCTTTTTCCCCCGCATTTAAAGCAGCACTTGCTTCAGTCAGGCCCTTTGCAGGAGTTCCTCGTGTGCCCGTATCCAAGACATCTGATACAGCGTGTTACTTTTACAACTGGGCGAACGCGGCAGTATACCCATTCGATCATTATACGGGGTTTGTCAAGGATTTTGAACGCGCTAGCCTCGTCTATCTCGCAGAAGGCTGCCCGGTTGCCTCGTCGAGTAGGCTTTGTCAAATTAATCCGTTTGATACCCAGGCTGTCGGTGAAGTCTCGTTTGAGTGCGTCGCAAACGTCGCTCTCGGTAGAGATTGCATCCAAGTCCAGGATCTCGATCGTTGTTTTTGGTGTGAGCGTTCTGACTCTACCGATGTTAGCGGTTGCTGTTTTTATCGCAGCCGTAAAAGCAGTAGTGTCTTCAGTCTTGCGACCCATTTCTAGAAGAACGCCCCCGCGCTTCGTTTGTTTGATAGACTTTATGTCTACTCCAGTCTCTGTTGAATTGACCTTGGCCTTTATTTCCTTCAGGAGATCAGCGTATGTTCACCCTTCAGCTGATTGGACAAGCACAGCTTTGGTTCTTGTCTTTTTCCTCTTCGGTTTCTTGGAGCCACCATTGCTTGGCTGGTTTTGGGCTGTAACAGATTGAGCCGCTGGCTCCTGTTCTTCCTTTTTCTTATTTTTCCGAGTCACTTTAATCCATGTATCATCCCGGGCTTTTTTTTTCTGTGCTGGCTTGTCAATTTCTGAGGAAGGGCTGGGCGTGGACGTTTGCCTCTTCTTGTTGTTGCCCTTTCCTTGCTGTGGTAGTTTATTAGGAGTGACCAGCGGTGACTGTGATTTGTTGCTCAGACTCGGAGATGTTTGAATCGTTGACACCGACGTCGTTGGTGATTTGTTGGCCAGCCTATATGACGTACTAATAGACGTAACCAATTTTCTGATCTCATGATGAAGATTCTTCTTTTCTTTTATGAAGTCGACTAACTCATCAATCTTGCTGCCGAGCCTCTCCATTGGTGACTGTTGGCCAGTGACGGTCGGTACAGAGTTAATTCTTCCTCGATAGGTTTGATTAGTGACAGGAGCAAAAGGTCCTCCACTTTTTGGAGGAACGTTTCTCAGCTGTCTATTCTCTTCCATCTGGGCTGATTTCGTACTCCCTGTACCATGTCCAGACAGCAGAGCTATGGAGTCCACCCCGCTGTCATAACGGTCGCTTGATAACGACGAAGTCAGGCCCGTTTTCACGCCTTCCCTCGCCGGCACTGAGGTATCCAACCCCTGTACTGTAGACAATGTTTGAATGTTCTGCGACATTTCCATATTGTTGTTGGTGTTGTTCATTTGGCACTACCCGGAGATCACGTGTAGGGTGTAAAAGCAGAACCTACGGATGCAAACAACTCTGCCCTCCGTGTGTGTGTGT